TTGGTTCTTACATTCTGATCCAGATTAAACCTTCAATGGAAATTAGGCCAGAGACAAAATGGAGGCTCGTATTCAGAACGTGCTTTTATCTCTGAAATTCTATAATATGCGTAAAGTATAGTATGTTAGCGCGCTAGCATCGTTGTAAGCGCGTTCTGAATACGGGTATAATATATATTAAAATACATACGCATAATAAAAATTAAACGCCTTTAATGTCTATAAACTGTGATTTGTCTAAATTGAGCTTTATAAATTTAGACATTCTTAAAAGAAGAAGAAAAGGATAGTATGAAATTAAGATGCGAAAATTCAATCATTATAAGGCTTCGGTAATATTTGTCACAATATAACTAATAACTAAAAAAAACGTTTCATTTTTCAAAGAAAAATGTATTATATATAAATAATAATAATAATAATTCTTAATTAGATCGATACATAAGAATAAATGAGATAATTAAGCGTACATCTTAGGGCTTAAATATTTCGGTAATGAAAGCTGCAAAAAAATAAGTAGCTGAAACGTTTTCATTTCTCCTAAGTATCAGATGAATTGGTCGCGATCTCTCGCAATCGTACGCTTGTAAGACATACGGATAACACGAGTTTTTTAAACACCCGGTAGACGTACTTGCGGCAGCAGACAAACTTGCGCTCGCTTGAGCTCGAGCCTCGAGCAGTGGTTGACCCGCGCGCAGTAGTTCTCAACACTTTTCAATTTCTCACCAATCTCATCGCGGTCCGGCGGTCGGCGATAGAGTGAATAGAGTTGAGTGTAGAGTGTGATGCCCGGTGGTCGTGACGTCGTAATCGCGACCGCGCGCCGCCGATAGATAGACTCAGCTCAGCGTGTCGTACTTATTACGGTCCCGTTGTCGCTTGTACGACTGCTCACGGTAGGCCGATGAGGTGATGTGAAGTTCTGCGGCGGGCCCAAACTTTGGATCGCCCAGGCGAGAGCTGCGTCGCGTATCGTGCAGGCGTGAGACGAGATTTCGGTCGCAAGGCGAGCGTCGAGCGTCGAGCGCGAGCACGAGGGGTTTTCTGGAGTAAAGGGAGTAGCAAATCTCTTAGGGGCCAGCGGGGGATCACGTGACCCGAGTGTTTACCAAAATGGTGAACGTCCATGGTGCGATACGAACGGCATTGCGTTCCGTCCGCACGGGAGCGGCCGCGCGGCGCTCGGTTGCGTAAATAGCTGCGATCAGCTGTGCTACGCTACGTGCGCGAAGCGAAGGGAGAGAGAGAGAGAGAGAGAGAGAGAGAGAGAGAGAGAGAGAGAGAGCGGGCGCGCACGCAGTGCTTCGTGCTTCGGCGTTCCAATCGTCCCGACACGGTCGCGGCGTCGCACGTCGCGTCCAGTCGCGTCTCATCCCGTCGCGTCCTGGACGAGTCGATCTTTACACGTCGTCGATTATCTCCGTCGTCGGCCCCTTTTCTCGTTTGCATTCTTTTCGGCTGGCGTTCATTTCGCTACTACGCCACGCACGCAGACGCAGCGCATCTTTACGGGCGAAAGTTGGAAAGTGGATGCGATCACGAGAGATGCCAGAATTCGACGCGGAGGCAGTCACGCTACGACGATTGCCTCCTAGCCACGCGATGGTATTACGCTAGACCGAATTTTTCGCGATGTCGTTGATTGAGTTAATTCGTCTCGCTGCACCGAGCTTGTCCTCGATCCGCTCGCCGTCCACACTGTAAGAATCCTCACGCTAGAATCTTTTTTATTTCTTTACATTGCAACGCTAAGGTGGTGATCCGAGGCTTCCACAGGCCTAATTCCATTCGCCAATAATGTTATACTCGAGGAATACCAGGTATGCTTCACGCGTGTTTACGATTTCAGTTTTCTTTGACAGCCTTGTCGTAATGAACATAGATTGATCAATCAGAGTTAACATTGTTCACTCTCTTCCTTTTCTAGTAGCAGATGATCTCTGATATAGGTTAGTGCAAGTAAAAAGCACTTGAACAACGGACATCTAAATGTCAGGAGGTGTTGTCGCATAGCGCTTGAGTGCTGAGGCCAGGCATTCTTAAACATGGCCACGTATCAAGTTGACTACCAGTGGTTAGTGCATGTCTTATCTTTCATTGATATTTATATATATATATATATA